TGCCCATAGAATCCAGAAGAGGGCATTGGATCTCCTGGAGCTCGTTAGAGGCAGTTAAGCCACCCTGCATGAGTGCTATAACCCCATCTGTGTCCTCTACTTAAGCATTAGGCGCTCTCACGGGCTGACCCATCTCCCCAGTCCCAAGGGTTAAGGTTTTAAATTTGGTTAGTTTGTTGGTAGTGAGACTGGGAGAGGGGCACGGACAGGAAGGAGAAGGCGTTGCCCTGGTATAGGAGAGAAAGCGGCACTAAGGGTGGGATGAGGTTAGGTCTAGAGCTCCCCGAGGGTTAAAATCCGCCCCCTTTGGATAGAGATCGAGAGGAAGAGTTTGTGAAGGTGTAGACAAGAACAGCCCAAAAAGAGAGGTCAAATACCATTTCTAAATTTCCAGTTTCCAAAGCTGGGTAGATGCAGCCTTATATTTCTAAGTAGGAGAATTCAGAAAGAGGTTTTCGGAGTAGGTTCCAAGGGCAGCAGATACAGTTCAGGCAGAGTGCTGGCCCAGCATGTGTGAGGCCCCAGGTTGAATCCCCAGTATTAAAAAGAAGAGAAGTAGCCTATGAATTTGAGAAACAATTAATTTGAGATTTTCCCTAAGGCACTTATTTGATGAAATAACCAGTGCTTTGCTCAGAAATGGAATCCCCATGTATGACAGGAGAGAACTGGCTAAAACCAACATAATAATTTCTTATCAACTTGTCTTAGTCATTTTTACATAGTGATAGACCAATGACAAGACATTTTATTCAAGATGATAACTAAAGAAAGGGATCTTAGCTCTGCAAAGGATCCTTCAAGCACTCACTATAGTACCAGGCAGAGGAGGTGGTTAAGCAAATGTGTCAAACAGACTAGCATCAAGTACTGAGAGAGGAAGGTTTGTATTTTGTGCGTCTCATATAAATCCCTATGGATAACATAAGTAGTAGGCACTTAATACACTTTACATTTGTAGTGTTTTACTTTTTAAAAGAGTGATTTCCTCAGCTGGTATCTCCTTTACAGTAACTTTGTGAGGGTAGGCAGGGTAGCTGTTCAGTCCCTTTACAGCTACAATCAAGATCAGAAAAAGTGACTTGCTGAGGACTTCTAGCACTTATTGTGTAGCCCAGGCTGGCCTCCAACTTGTGTCCCCTACCTGTGTCTCTGAGTGTTGTTATTGCAGCGGACCACTGTGCCCTGGTAATTATTCCTGTCCTTTGATTCAGACTCCAGCATTTAATGTAAACCATCACCTGGAAACAATCAGCAGGCCTATAAAAATAACAGTTATATAGTTTTTGTAATAGAATTAAGCTTACAAACCAAACCCATTGTTACTAGAAAAAATTACTATTCGAACCAGGGCACATGTTCTAGTGAAGTTTTATCATCATTAAGTTCTTTGTTTGTTTGGCCCCTACAGTAGAATAAAATCTGTTTTGTTTCTAGAGGTCATAGTATAATTACAGGTGCTCCGCTCCTAAGCAGATGCCAAAGAGCAGACAAGACAGACATTCAACAGAAAACCAGGAAACAAAAACAGGGAGCAGCAGATTCTCTTTTGTTATGTCAGGTATCGGTAACAGCTGTTGCCGAGGGTGGAATTCAGTTGTTGGTTTCTTGGAATTTCTCTTGGAAACTAGTTTATTTCTGTAAGAATTTCTAAGTACAGTTTAACAGTTCCATGATCTGTTTATTTTAAACACTGAAAATCAAACAAAATATAATTAGAAGACAGATTAAATGGAAAGATACCAATTTTTTTCAACCTTGAAGGAAGAACATTGCATAGGAACACTCAAAAGAATGGAAATGGGAGACAAAGAGAACTGAGATGTGAGAGACCCAAAGGTAATAGGAAAGCGACCAGGTAAAGGACACACAGACAGGGAGCTGCTGTCTTCTTGGAGACAGGCTAGAAAGGAAGATGGAAACGTAGGTCAAGTGGCTCTGAACTGGGCAGGAGTTACTGAATAGGGAAGGTGGCCTACACTGTGAACATGGATTGTAGGTTCTAGCTAACTTTTCCTACGGGATATGACTGTATGCACTAATGTTGTGTACATAGGTCACATCCTCTTAGTGTTTTCTTTTTGATTGTCATGTAGACTTTTAATAATTGCAAAGAACTCATTCAGTCAGAATTACATAAGCATTTACCTTATCCAGAAGGGTCCTAACAGCTAACATTTAATTTCATTAAAATAGTTTTATTATAACTCCACTTCCACTAAATGGCTGCCATTTAGTGAACTAAACCTTAGTTTTTAAAAGAAACCATCCTCTGGTTTCTTAATCTAAGATAAAAGTTAACAGCTATGTTCTAGCCCCATGCTCAGCTAAGACTCCGGGAATTTAGGGCTGTGCTCTGGAGAGGTGGCTCAGCAGTCAAGAGCACTAGCTGCTCTTCCAGAGGAACCAGGTTCAATTCCAGGCACCTACATGATGGTTCACAACTGTTCAGTTTACGGGATCTGATGCCCTCTTCTGACCTCCAAGGGCACCATGCATGCAAATGGTAGACAGGGATACATGCAGACAAACCGTCCATACACATCAAATAAAAACAGATTTAAAAATATACTGAACTGTTAAGGCCGCCAGGGCACTGTCACAACTTGGCTGAATTGTTTAAAAAATCTCAAATTTTATATAACTGATCATTTTCTTACCATCATAAGCCAGCATTCATTCCACTAAGTGAAATCCTGATTCACATTCTTTACCTAAATGTTAACCCATTAGTTTAGGGTCAGAATTTCAAGTACCGATGAATGCTGCTAGCTTGCTGACTAAAACAAAACAAAACTTCAGTTTAGGTACTCTAAGAGAAGAAAAACGTAAGAATTTAGATGAGACTCACACTCTGTTTCTTTTGTGCTCCCTCAAACACACACACACACACACACACACACACACCACACCCCACCAGGAAAGGAACTGAAAACCTTTGCCCTGTGCTACTGACTTGTAGTAGAGCTGTGTTCCCGTAGAGCTGTGCAGAACACAGCCCTGGGCTCTGTAATGTCAGCTCCAGAGGCTGAGCAACATGACCGAGAATGGTGCTGTGGTGTTCGTACAGACCTAGCTGATAGCCAGCCTTAACTCGTTTGAGGGAGTCGATCTACTTGCAAATTTGCTTCCTAGATCATGAATAATGGTCTATTCCTGGGTGATACAGACCATCTTAACCCTTTATAAACCAGTGTTTGAAAATTCTGACCTTCCTAGAATGCCACAAAATTTAACATAAACTAAGTTTTCAAACACAATGCTAAGTACATCAACTTATTTCAACATTTTATTATGACAATTGACATATATTAAGTGAAAGAAATGACAAGTATTATAATAAAACATTTTGAAAAAAAGTTACAGTTAGGCCAATAGCTGTAAAATGGCTTAGGCCTGGCTTATTACACTGAGAATTCTGACCAGACTGAAATGAGACATTCAACATTTTGTTAACGAAAATATTGGCAACAGCCACAACATATTTGGGTTGTCACAAGGAATATTGTATTTAAACAACGATGCACTGCAGTTCTACCACTCCTGAAGCTTTGCGCTCTCAGGGCCTGCCATGCTTTTCATACACAGACGTGACTTGTGTTATCAGAATCATGTTTCCAGTTTTCAGATTTCTGCACGTGATTCACACATGCAGCACTACATTATGTGACAGTGCACGACAGCCTCTCTGTGACTAATGCATGGTCCTGAGACAGCAAGACTTGGTTTGAGATAATCTTGGAGCTTCTGTTTCCCTCTCATCTAAAAACAGCATTTTGAGAACTATTCCAATATTTTTTATTTTATGCATAGGGAAAGTAAAGTACTTCATTTGAGCACATCTGAAAATCCAAGACATGTTCTGAATGGATGCTTCCTGGAACTTAGTTACTACTTTATAAAATCAAAGTGAGATTCAAAAATAATACAATTTACAAACTCTTATCTGGAATTTGTACTCTTCACATTGAAATTCATGGTCCCTAAGCTTCTAAATGGGTGAAGACAGTAAAGGAAATAATTCTCAAATTAGTTAACAGGTGAAGGTTACCTGAAAATTATGACACAATTAGATGAATTTAATTCCTTATAAGAAGCGATGCTACACAGGTAGTAAGTTAGAATGGTAAAGTTACCAGATAGCAAAAAGAAGTCCTGGCATTTTAAAAGATAGGCTGACAGCATGGTAAAATGTGCCATGCAGACTGCCAGCAGCAGTTGTAAGAGATTGCAAATTAGTTACCAAATAAGGAGGGATTGAAAACTGAATGTGATGTCCCTTCCTGCCAAGTTTCAGCAAGTTATTTGTGTGGAGTTGGGTAAGTCTATGGAATAGTCAAACAATTCTAATTTTTTCCTTCTTTTACACATAAAGAAACTAGCCCTGCCTCGTTCCCACCTCCATCTCAACATAGGACATCCCTTCTTAAAGTGCACATAGAACCCCATGAGAGTTTTAGGCAAGATACTATCCAGATACTATGGTCAAGAAGCTACTTTGATAAGAGAACAAAACACACCAACATCAACAATACTCTAGACAGGCACCACAAAGTCATGCACCGAAAGAATATGCTGCCGATTGCCAGATTTGGGATGTTGCAGCTGTACTGATCCTGACGATCCATTTACACTAATATAAACTGTGTGTGTGGCTGTGGGGCACACTCATGCAATGGTCTGAGAGCTTTGGGAAAAGGTTTTATCTAATTTCAAGGGCTGTCCGTACCGCAGTGCGATACTGACATGCACCACCTCTGCTAACGGGCAACAGGACGAAGAAGACCATGGCACAAGGTGTTGAAACAATTTGAGGTTTAATTACATAATGCTCCTGTAGATGCTCGAGCATCAACACAACTGTAGAAATCTACATCCTATTTTAGGGTCTTTTCCCACCTCCCAGCCCTTAAAAGCTGTACAGTTATAAAAAAATGTGACTCTCAAGCAAAATAAACTTTTTTTTTCTTTTTTTGCAACGTACAAAATAAGTTAAATGATTTAGAAGATCTTGAGCCATTAAGTTCCACAATGACTGTGTTCTGGCTGTCCATAAACATAACATGCAGGCTCCTGGCCTATGACCAGGATGCAATAAATACAGATCAAACAAACCCCAAACACTTAAGTTAGACTCCTTCCGAAACTGATGAAAGTCAAGGAAATATATAGTTAAACAAGCTCATTCTTAACTTATATCATCCAGTGGCAAAAAGAACAAGGCAGGTTATTTATTCCTTTGCACATTTTCTAGCTTGTACTAGTTTGGCAAAAAAAAAAGAGAGAGAGAGAGAGAGAGAGAGAGAGAGAGAGAGAGAGAGAGAGAGAGAGAGAGAGAAAGAAAACAAACCCACAAATACAGTTTCTTAATTTTTTTCCTCATTCAGAAGGTCTAGAGCTTCATAAATCCCTATTCATCTGGTAGTTTGTTATGGTCTTTCACATATTGTGTATAGGATAGACATATGTAAAATGTCAAGATAGAAACAACACCTCCATGAACTGAAAAGACTACAATGAGGGTACCAGAACAGTGTCTCCCAGAGCAGAGTGGTATAAATATGAAATGGGGCAGGGAGTTGTGTACATGACCCAAAGAGTGGAAAACGTCAGGGGAACTAACTGTTCTAATGAACTGTTCTAATGAACTGTTCTAATGAACTGCTGAGGGGGCTTGTAAGAGTGACAGGTGGGGAGTGTACGATCTAAAGTGGTTCCATACCAAGTCTACCTTATTTTGGCTTATGATACGGGATGACTTATCCTCAGTGTTATGCAGCCAGTTACCTAGCAAACCTTGGCACTCAAAAAATGGTAAATCATTTAAGTTGGATTGAAATATTTTGAAAATTAAGTGGAATAATAACACAATAACCCAGTTTAAAAACTGGATGAAGCTGGCAGTGGTGGCACACCACATGCCTTTAACCCCAGCACTCAGGAGGCAGAGCCAGGTGTGGATCTCTGTGAGTTTGAGGCCAGCCTGGTCAACAGAGCGAGTTCCAGAACAGCCAGGGCTATGCAGAGGAAACCCTGTCTCGAAAAACCAAAAAAATAAAAAATAAATAAAACAAAAAATACAAACTGATGAAAGCAAAGGCCTTTTCTTTCAGGATCCAGGTGGGAACGGTGAGGAAATAAACCAGCAGTTAGCTTGCCACTTCCAAGGCTGACATTGGGAATGGTGGATAAAATAGGAATGAATTTTATCTGAGAGTTCAACAATGGATCATATTAAAACAGACAAGGACTATGTAGATTACAGCATACATGTGGTCTTGGCATTCTCTGCTTAAGAGAACCAGAAATATATTTAGAGAATGTCAAACCAACAAGAAAAACTATTTTTTCTCTAAACTTTCTATAATTGAATCATATTCATAATTTTGTCACAACTATTTGCCTTATGTTTTTATAAGTCAGTTCATGATGAATTCAGCATTCTAGTAGTTATCCAGAACGGGTGTATATACACATTTCCTCTTAAGAAAAGTCTTGGTCTTTGAACACTTGTTCTAAAGCTGAGACACTACCCTGAACTAGAGACCTGCTCTGCTGTGGCAGCTGGCAGTGGAGTCACAGCATTATCTGAGTGTTCAAGATTTGTTAGGTGCTTTTTATCTTCTGGTAGAACAATCAGTGAGTGACTAACTCCTCCATCCATACCACTTAAAAATTACTAACACATTCACCATAATTTTAAATCTCAATTTAAACAAGTAAGTGTCCACATTTTTCTTAATATATGTACTTTGCTTAAATGTCTATTATATAGGATAGGTTCTATCAACTAGAAAGTGAAAAGTGAATAACATTCTTTTAAAAATCTTTTTCCCCACAATAATTAATTTCATTAGTATTCTGAAGTTCTTGGTTCTTTGGCAGATCACTTTCTAAAAAATAAGTTACCAGTAAACATGAATTAATCCTTAATGAAACGCCTTTTTATCCTCTGAATCTGCAACCTTGACCAACTGGAAAAAGATGTCAAGGAAACAACCTCAACGTATTACGTGTATTGTTGAAAACACATCACTTTGCAGTAACATTCTACAATAAACACTATCTCATCATCGCACAGGTACAAGCAAACCAGTCTGAGTCCTTTTCCTACGCTATTTCAATTTTAAGCTCTTGAACTGTAAAAATATGGCTAGTTTTCAAACTTTACTGAAATGGCAAACTAAACACTTTGAACACTACACTGTATCTTCACATAATGCATATGCTGTAGACTGAGTCTGATACCGGAGCCCTTTGATACAAGTTCAGCACTTGTATTTCAAAGGTAGGAGGGGTCACTGAAGTTAGTAAAAGCAGACATTCTATAGATCTATTGTAAATCTGAATCGATCATGGACTGAAGATAGTCGGCCCCCTACACGACTGTTTTCCTTTCCATCCTCCAGTTCTTACTGGTTGGATCAGAATTTTTTATACAGAACATTTACTTTGACAGCAGCAACAGAAACCTCATCGGGAGCATCTTCCAAGTGAGTTTTTCTGAGAGATAACAGACTCTGACGGACTGAGTCCAAACACTAAACAGGGCAGGAGTTCTACCCAGCATGCATGAGGCCCTGAATTCAATCTCCAGGATCAACAGAAACAACAGAAAAGGCCAAGCAGCAGAACTCTCTGGATACTAAGAATCAGTATGGACTAGCTGCCTGGGTTACTACTGAGAGCCAGTTGGTTTAATGAGAATGTAAGGTTAGAAGGGAGACACTCAGTATCAGGTTGACACTCAAGTTTAGTAAGGATCAGGTAGCACAAAGTGGTTTTGAAACCCCTGTTACTGGGACATTTTGCTAAGTGGAATACTCAGTCTTTACTGTAAAAATTACCATGGGTTTTCCATAACAGAAGTGACTTCACATTCCGCATGCTGTTGCATTAGCTACCCATTTACTATTTCTAATCATCTGTATAAAGGATGAGTAGAGTTGATAGGTGGATGCAAGAGCTGGTGTGTGCAGAGGTAGAGACAGGCACATGGGAGAGTTTCTACACCACAGTGGCTTTACCTGGCTGCAGGACTGAAACCTGAGACTGGGTGGCAGGAACCCACTCACCATGCACTAGTAGGAACCCTTCTGCCTGTCTGTTCTAGACAGTTCAAAAGTTTACTTAGCTGATTTTCAAAGAAAACAACAGCTAGAAAGGAAGTTTTACAAGTGAATGTGGCTCCTTTTCAGTCCTTTACTTCTGTGAACGTAAGCCCACCCTGTCCTTCCAGCACAACACTGTTTTAAGATAAGCCCACAGCTGCTTCGGGAGCAGCACCTGCCGCACCCTGGGTTCTTGTTTTTATTTTTTTTAGGCTGCTTTCATTGTTTCATTGTTACACAAATACAAGTTCATCACTAGAAACAAAGCAAAAATATCATCGGTCAAATTCTACAGAACTAAAGTGAAACAGAAAACCAGTAACTGAAAAGAAATCAGCACTACACTTTAAAGGCCGGAAGGTTTAAGGGCAGTGTCTGTCGAGGAACAGAAATTAGGAGCATAAAGTTTCCAGAGAGGTCTTGATGATGCAAGTCTAACGCCAGCTTTTAATAATGAAAAGGAAGTAGTTTACTGTAGACTGACTACCACATATAATGCTTCATCTGAAAAGAAAACTGAAGTCCCCTGGGCCAGCAGCAGGTACGGCATGTCTATTGCCGGCAACAGACAACAGTGGAGCAGGAAACCCGAGTCCCCGGGGAAAAGCACAGCCCGAAGCAGTGCAGAGGGCTTCGGCATGTGCCAGGCAAGAAGACTCACAGATGCTACAGCTGTACAGGGTTAGGGCTGTGCCCACAACTCCACAACGGTAACAGAAACCAAGCTAAAGGTCCTAGTTTAGTGTCAGCTACGTTACACTGTTTAGTTAGAAACCGCCTAGTCTTGAAGCAAAGGGCGAATCCTTAGAGTGTTGAGATGTTTAAAATGGAAGTTAGGCCTATTAAGTATATCAGCGGGTCTCACTCAGTTCTGTTGGTTGTGTGACTATTAATGGATTTTCAATAGAAGTATATAATGGCCAAAGGCCAGAACTACATTCAAACCCTGCTAATGTATCCAGGCAGATAGAAAATTCCAACACACACACACACACACACACACACACACACACACACACACACACACACACACACACGATTAAACTCAAAACTAAAAATCTCCCAAAGGAACTGCTTTGTTTGTAGACTTCAATTTGAAGTAGATACTAAGGGCAAGAACAGACCAGTTAAAATTCACCTGAAAATTCCTTCTCAGTCTTCCAATGTGCTAAATACCATTGTCAACTTAGCATCTCCATATGTTATATTTAGATGGATTATATTCAAAATGACATTTCAGACAGTTAACACCATATGGCCAGAAGAGTTAACATTACTGGCAAAGTTTATAGTGTACTTGCACTTTAGGAAAGCCCACATTGACTTCACTAACTCCTCACCGGACACAGTGTAATAGAGGCCATCATATTACCACAGCATAAAAGCTACTTAAGACTTCCTTCTAGCACAATCTGGTTATCAAAGCTTCATTAATACAATTTACTATACAAATGCTTTTCAGATGATTTTGTGTTTTTGTTTTTTTTAAACAAGAAACTCTGCTATAACAGAAACTTAGGTTAAAGTGATTTTATGATGGTACTTCCATGGTCTCTTCTTTATTTAAAGTGTGGTAATGGTAACTCCAATAGTAAACAAATTGATTTCACGAAGGCTATTACTAAGTGACGTATGTACGATGTTGTATCTACAATTCTCAAACTGCAACAGTACAGACTTGAACTTTTGAACAGTTTGTTAATCATCATCTATGCCATGAATGTTTAAATATAATATATATTTAATATGAAAAGCTAAAGCCCAAGTGCTTTCTCCCACCCTAAATTATTGGGCCCTCACAGATTTGGAATGCATTCATATCCACCTTTTTCACAAAGTCAGGAGAGCTCAGGAAATATAAAGTCAAAAATATACAAATCTTTGTTGTTATTATAATAAGATTTTTTTCCCATGAATGAAATTACCAAGGACCATGAACTTGGAAAAAGAAAATCAAAAGGAATTTACAGCAATTATTAATCTTCAAAGTTCAAAACTGGTCACTTCACAGAAAGACTTTGGGATTCGTTGAAATTTTTCTTCTAAAAAGTCGTTCTGTAGTGGAGTTTTCTAGGAAAAATTAAACAGCTTTTACTAACTGGCCCGCTGGTGTGAGAGCTACCGTGGAATAAATTAGCACAAAAATGGAAAGAAGTCTTATAACTGTTCACTGTTACAGACATAATCAACAAGGTCAGTCACTCGCAGAAGCTCATCTTCATCCTCTTCCGGTGCCCCCACCTCCTGACCACCACTTGTCCCATTTGGGGCTAGACTTGCACTGGCCGTGCCGCTGTCCTTGGGGGTCTGGGACTTTTCAGTTGGCTTGCCCATCAAGTTCTCAATGGCTTTGCCAGGGCTCTGTCCATTGGTGGAAGGCAAGTCCACTAAGCTGTAGTCCAAGGGGCTCCCTACTTTGCCCACGTTTTCGAAGTCCTCTTCCTCATCACTCTCTATCCGATAGGGCTTCTTGCTGCTCTCCTGCTCCGAGGGCAGGACCCTGGGCTGGCTGTCAGGGGCAGGCTGTTCCGCATCTCCACGAGCATTGTCACAGCTCTCCTCATCCGTCTCAATACGGTGGAGCCGCTTGCGGGATGGTTTGCCTTCCTCTTCATCATCCTCATCTGCTTCTGAATATTCATCTGTGCTTCGGCCCCGTTTTCGAACAGACCTCTTTGATTCTTTTGTTAGCTCTTCATCTTCAGAGTTCTTGGACATATAGCTCTCTAGAATAAACAGATATTTAAGCTGTTGCCACAGTCAACAATAAGCATATTCAAGTACTCCTTTTCCACATCCACCCCATGCTCTGCTCTTAGGAAAATATGGCTCTGTAATAAATAGATTGGTAGACATCTAACTACCACCACCACCTGTAACAATGCTCAATAAGATCTACTGTGTATTTTACTTCTGATTTTAGAAAAAGAAGATTTCCTAGGGGAGTGGAAGAAGAGGGTCTGATGGTCCTTGAATTAAGTGAAGGTAAACTGGCCACAAACTGAGAAACTCCTTTTTATTTCTAAAATTGAGGAGTCATATAAACATATTAATAAGGAAAGATTAAAACTACAGGAATGCAGCTGCATGGTGGTAGCGCATACTTTAATCCCAGCACTAGGGAAGCAAAAGCAGGCGGATATCTATATGTCTGAGGCCAGCCTGGTCTACATAGCAAGTTCCAGGATAGGCTCCAAAGCTACACAGAGAAACCCTGTGTCAAAACAAAACAAACAAACAAAAACCTGCAGGAATGCATGGTGGTATAGACTGGTAATCCTCATACTTGGCAAGTATAGGACGATCATAAGTTCAAGGCCAGTCTGAGTTATATGAAATCATTCTCAAACCACCAAAAACCAAAAGCAAATTACTGGGCATCACTCTGTACACCATAGCAAACATTTGAGGACAGATATTAAACTCCTCTGGTCGACTGTGAATGTCTTAGTGTGGTCTGTACTTGCTTTGTGAGTCATCTCACCCAGTCTTGTGGCTACACATACAGACTGATGAGGCTCTTCTTTTAGGCGATCACTAAATTACAATTACAGATTAGTCAAACTGCCTCTTCAACATGTATGTTTGAATATCTAAAAGGCATCTTAAGTCTAATGTAAACAAAACAGCTCCCAAAGGCCTTTTGTTCTTAAAGCTGCTTAGTTCTTGATTTCTTTTGGTCTACCATCAAAACTTATCCTTGGAAAGCTGGAGCAGTTGCCCAGCAGTTAAGTGCACTTGCTGCTCTTGATGAGGACCTAGGTTCAGGTCCCAGCACTGACTGACAACCACATGTAATTCCAGGGATCTGAGATTTCTTTTGGTGTCCACAGGCATTAGGAAATAACACACACACACACACAAAATAAATAAAAGTAAATCTTAAAAAACAAAGCTATCCTTACTTTGATAACATTTTACTCTTACATCTATGGACCTACTTCCACCCGGCATCATCTCTTCCCGGGACTCCTGTTCTCCAAGCTACTGCCTTGTTCTCCCTCTTCAATTTATTGATAATATGGGTACTCTAGCAAATTAGAACACACTCCACTGCTCAAAATCTAAGTATTTCCCAGCTCACACAGAATAAATCCACAATCCATACAATGGCCTATCCACTTAATATAGTAGACACTAGTCATGTGGTTATTTTAAATTAATTAAAATTAAACAAAAATTGAGTTCCATGCTCAAGCCAGCTACATTTCAAGTGTTTTACGGCCACATGGGGTTAATGCTTACTGAATTAGCCAGCACGGATACAGAATATTCCCATCATTGCAGAAATCCATTTAGACAGCTCTGCTCTTTATCTGAGATTACCAATTGTTTTTCTGGGGGGGCGGGGGTTCAGGTGAGACCTCCATGTTCTATCAGAACTATTCATTTTTTTAAAATAAGGCAGCTATAGACAATATGTAAATAAACAGATATGACCATCTTCTAATAAAATCTGATCTATTAAAAATGGTTATTTATGCAACCATGTGTACTGTGGCTTGCTGACTTCTCTCTTATTCTCGTTCTAACAACCCTGAGCTTCACCTGTTCCCTGAATGTGCTGGGTACAGTTAGCTCAGGGGTGTATGTGTGTGTGTGTGTATGGTGCTGGAACCAAAAACTAGGGTCTCATACATGCTGAGCAAGTATTCTACCACTAAGTCCTAACTTTGTCCCCTAAATATTGTCTTTCTCAATGAGGAAATCTGAAATTCTATTCTTCTAAACCATCTTCTTCTAATATCTTATATTCTAATATTTATTTTATTATCTTTCCACCTACCTCAAAAGTTACATGAGGGCTATTTTGTTCTGTCCAATTCCTAGTACTTATACCAGGGCCTAGTTCAAAAATATTCATATTTAATGGCTGGATTAATGAAGTTAGTTTTATTTTTATGACGTGAAGATACTCAAGACTAAAGTCCACTCCTTTAGACTCCCACATCCACATATTTTTTCCTGCTCTCCTACTCTCAAACTCTATTTGTAAAAGCAACATTCAAAACAGATCACAAACAATGATGGATTAAATGCTTTAAAAAGGTGGGAGATAAGAGTCAAGGTCATTTAAAATGAACTTAGAAAGAGGTCTGGATTAAAAAATGAAGCAGAAATCACAAATTCCTATTAAAAACACTCCCCTACCCCCCCAGACAGGGTTTCTCTGTATAGTTTTGGTGCCTGTCCTGGCACTCACTCTGTAGACCAGACTGGCCTCGAACTCACAGAGATCTGCCTGCCTCTGCCTCTGGAGTGCTGGGATTAAAGGTCTGCGCCACCAAGGCCAGGCCCCTATGACAATTTTGAAAAGATTTCTCTTTTTTGTATGTATATATGTGTGTCTGTGTGAGTGTAAGGCACATACATGTGCTGGTATTTACAGTCTTGAGAAGCTTCCCTGAAGCTGGAGGGAGCTGCCTGATGTAGATGTTAGGAACTAACTTGAGTACTCTGGATGAACAGGAAGTTCTCTAAACCACTGAGCCAGCTCTCCAGCCCCACAAATGAATATTTTATAGCTTCTCCTCCACTTCTGGTAAAGCGCAGCTCCAGCTCTTACCGAAAACAGCCCCCGGCTGAGACTGACAGAGAAAGGAGGGAAGGACCACAGACACGATGGTCTGAAAGTGCTCAGCTCCTCAGTGCAGGAGAGGTGATGTCAGAATAAACAACAACCAAAAGGGGCAGAGTGACTCACAACGCCAGGCAGAAGACCTTAATATAATGGAACCCTTCAAAATTAGCATCTGGGGGCTGGAGAGATGGCTCAGCGGTTAAGAGCACCAGCTGCTCTTCCAGAGGTTCTGAGTTTAATTCCCAGCCACCACACGGTGGCTCACAACCAAACATCTATAGTGGGATCTGATGTCCTCTTCTGTCATTTAGGCATACATGAAAATAGAGCACTCATATATATAAAATACATGAATAAATAAGAGTGACTTAAAAATTAGCATCCTATCAAGAGTGGTTTAAATTATAATTAATAGGTGGGAGAAAAGTACTAAGATTCATCCCAATGATGCTAGTGATTATATGAATTAAAAAAAAAAAATCAGCCAGGCAGTGGTGATGCACACCTTTAATCCCAACACTTGGGAGGCAGAGGTAAGTGGATCTCTGGAGTTCAGGGCCAGTCTGGTCTACAGAGTGAGTTCAGAGAAACCCTGTCTCCAATAACAACAACAACAAAACCAAGCACATCATCCCAAGCCTGAATGTTCTTTCTATGCACCATCTATTTTCTCCTGCCCTCCTTCCTCACGCAGGAGACAGCATTTACCTTCACTCTCTGAGCTGGAGAGCCTGCGCTTGTGAACTCGTCGGATTTCTTTACCACGGCGTATGCTTTTCTGGGAACCATCACTTTCTGAATCTTCTTTGTAATTAATTTGTCTTTTCTGGTTCCTTCTTGATCGCCTTCGCCGGGTTTCTACAAAATCATCACTCAAGTCTTCACTAAAGTCACTTTCTGTTTAGAAAAAAGAAAGGAGGGGAACAAGGAAGAACAAAATTGAAATCCATTGGTAGTTTTAACAAGCTTAGACTATAAAAATATCAAGTTAATAGAGTTGAGTTGTAAACATTTTAGTTGAGTAAGTTTTATAAACCTTATTTAGTTTAAAAAAAATCAGTGTGCCAAATATCACAAATGTACACTTGTGTTTTTTTGAGACCAGGTCCTTAGCCCAGGCTAGCCTTGAAATTCTGCTCCTATTCCCACCACTTTCTGAGTCCTGGGATTACCGGTGTCTACCTCCATATGCAGTAGTGCTTCAAGCATGCCAGGCAAGCATCAACAAACAGCCCCAGCCTCACAACTGGATACTATTATCAGTTACTTCCCAAGGTAAAAGAAAAAAAAAAATGAAAGAAAATAAGGCAGAAGGAGAAGGGAGAGGAGATAAAGGGTGAGGAGGAGATGGTTGGATGTGCAGCTCAAAGGTAGAGCGCTTGCCTGGCACTCGGTCCCCAGCAATGCGGAAAGGAGGGGAGAGTTGTTAATATCTCTTTTCTAAAACTCCATGTTACATTCAATTGAGAACAACCAGTTGGTCAGAGTGCAGAGAAGAAGTGTGGAGTGCCTGGCCACACACAGACATCTCCATCACACTCGCTTCCCCCAGGCTCAGGGACCATCCCAGAAGAGCTGGTGCAAAGACTGTAGGAGCCACAAGTGGGGGAGGACCAGAGCCAAACTGTTTTCTGGACACGCAAGGATACTGTACTTGAACTCAGAGCTGTGCGCCTCTGCACAAGATCAATTCAGTCAACTTTCGAGCATCCAGGGGAAAGGGCTCATGAACTAAGGAACTGAGGAGCTATTGAGGGTTTCTGGGGTAGAGAAAGTCAGTTTTTGGTTAAGGGTGGGCACCAGATAGACATGTTCCAATGGATGGCTCTAAACCCACGAACACATGGGCCACACATGGTGGGCCACACATGGTGGACTTAAATAATAATTAAAAAAAAAGGTATACCACATGGTTGGAAGTTGGGAGAGGGTGGATCCAGGAAGAGTTGGGGAGAAGTGAATGAGTGACTATGATCAAGTACGTTTTATGACTGTATTATGAAATTCTCATAGAATAAACATATATTCTAAGATATAATGGTTTAATTACAGCAAACAGGTTTTTTAATGTTTCTCTATTATCATTCCACAGTGTGTAATTCCCAAATTAGTCTTTGGCTTACACTGTTAGAATGTTTTGAGTTTTAAAAAATGCTGTTTGAATTTCTGAATTGAGTTTTATAAAGAAAAATTTTAAATGAATTTTGGAGTGGAATTAGAACAAAACTTCTAATTTTTAAAACCAGCCTAAAGATACTTCTACCAGTTTGTATTGTGAAGCAGTAGTCTCAGCACAAACAATTATAAAATCAAAATGAACTGAGAAACAGAAGATGTTCTATGACTTGCAGCGACAACTGGATTAAGACAAGCTTTCTTCGTGTAAAAATAAGCACATCCATTGTCTACAATTATGTAAAATTCAGTTTCCAAAGTAATTTTTTTTATTTAAATTAAACCTTTTTTTCCCATTTATTTATTCTCTCTGTGTGTGTTTGTATGGGCAACTCATCTAAGTGCCATGGTGAACATTCGCAGGTCAAGGACTGCTTAAGGGAAATGGCTCTCTCCTCCCACCGTTAAGGATCTTGGAGATCAAACACAAGGTTGTCAGGCTCGGGAATATACACCTGTACTCAATGAACAATCCTTCTGGTTTTGTTTTCTTTAATTGTAAAACAACAGGGTTTAATTACGGTAGCACTGACTAGCCTGGAACTCACTAGATAAACCAGGCTGGCCTTGAATGCATAATGATTTGCCTCCCTCTACCTCCTGAGTGCTGAGATTATAGGCATGAACCACCATATACAGACCTAAAGTATCTTTAAAAACACATTTTTTTGGTTTTGTTTTGTTGCTGTTCTGGAACTTGCTCTGTAGACCAGGCTAGCCTCAAACTCAGAGATCCACCTGCTTCTGCCTCCTGAGTGCTGGGATTAAAGGCGTGTACCACCACTGCCTGGCTTAAAAATACATTTATTTGGGTCTGCAGAGATGATTCAGTAGTTAAGAGCATTGGCTGCTCTTCCAGAGGACTCAGATCCAATTCCCAGCACCCACACTGTCTGTAATTCCAGTTTTAGGGGATCCGACACACTCATACACATACCACAACAATGCACAAGAAAAAAATAGATCAATAAAAAAGGAAATATTTTTATGATTTATTCAGTCAATTTTTGACTCGTATTATCTATTTCATATACTTAAGTACTGGAAGTTATGTAAATAAAATAAAGTTTAAGAAGCCCTGGTGTGCATGGAGTGAACTGGTTCTGGTATTCATTCTACAATATCTCAAAAATATTTTCAGAATACTTGGTTCCAATAGGATTTATCACAATTTAACATTCTAAAAGAGCTGGCATGAAGGTAACACGTTAATTTACACAAATTTTCTGAGATGTGTTATGTGAAAACATGACTCGCAAGTCATAAGAAAAGGACTCCAGAGTCTCATCAGGAGATCTATGTCACAGTTGAATGCAATTCCAACACCTTGGAACTCCAAAAGTCCCAGGAAGCAATTGAGTTGCTCTGATACAGACAGAAGGCATTTTTTACCAGAGTCTCTACTATTCTCCTCAGACTCTTCTTCCTCTTCATCATCATCAGAGTACTTTTTCTTTGGGGTCTTTCTCCGCAAACGCCGGCTTTGCCTCATGGGCCGAGAAGGATGCCGCCTCAGTCTTCGGCTATAGAAGTCCGTGTCACTGTCCTCATTAGATGGTGGATCTTCTTCACTTTCATCCGGGTTTTCATCAGACACAACAAACTCATCCTGGGATCTGTCCGGGAAAAGGAGATAGGTCAGGATGGTGTACTCCGTGTTTGTTTTGTAAAGGCACAGTTAGAAGTGATAACCAGCTTTTCAGAGTTCCAGTCAAAAAACTGCAATGAATCCAGTGAAACATTAAGTAATATTTGAGGACACATATGGGAAATTATGTCAACTTCTGTGTTTAAAACGAGTATCTGTGAAGATAACTGATGCTGAATTTCATACATGAACTTCCTTCACTGACCACTTAAAATCCAACGTATCCAAAAGTGCTCATTATTTCCCACCCACCCCCCATTCTACATACCAGCCAAATATATACATTTTTGAATACAAAAATTCTGACTTCTTCTTATGGGAGGGACGGGGTCCTTGTGCCTGCGTGTGGGAGTCAGCCGACCACTCCGCCCACCTTTTCTGGCTTCTGGAGACTGAAACACGGCTGCCAGGCGTGGGTGGCAAACACCCTTACCTGCTAGCTCTCTGGTACTGAGAGTCATTAACCCGCCAGTAACCCAAACCAGACACCTGGTGTGTATCCCGACCTCTCCTTTCACCTCACACCTCAACCTTCTGGGTATTTTCCCCGCCGGAGCTGAGGACCGAACCCAGGGCCTTGCCCTTGCTAGGCAAGCGCTCTACCACTGAGCTGAATCCCCAACCCCTTGGGTATTTTTTTATTTAAATATTTTCAGGACCAAATTCAAATTGGTATGCAGGACAAAAAACAAGACAGAAAAAAACCCTTAACTAGTTCTTTTTTATGTTCTGCTTGCAGCTCTCCCAGAGCATTCTCTATTTCATCCCCATATTCTTGCTTTTCTGGGAGTTTCCTAAATATTCCTTGACATTTGAACATGTGGGATCTCTGTTTGGATTGCTTTCTTCTCTCACGCTGCCTTTAAACTCATAGGCTGCTCAAAATAATCATTCCCCGCATGTTAATTCTAACTTAACTTCTTATTGTGAGGGTTCCCTGACTCCTTTAGATGGAGGCAATTATCTTCTGTAGCCTAACTTTATTTTACCTACATTACAGAGGTAGGCAGTGCAGAGCATCTTTTCTGTGGTTTATATACTTCCCACTACATCTGCTACCGAGTTAACAGGAGAAACTCCACAGTACTGTGTATACTAAGGTTATATTACACTGTTTATACACCACTCTAATGCTACTATCGGATTAATTACCCCTTACGAAACCTCTCCAGAGCAGAGAAGACTACTTACTTCTTTATAGTTTCCCACACTTGATTGAAAACTACTGATGGAAGAGGCAGCAGAAGGTAGTATAGGAAAAGATTTCAGTAAATAAAACTTCAATTATAGTTCATCAAATTTAAATACAATTTTAAACATTAAACAACCATACATGTAGCTTTAATTGTAATCTAAATGAATCGCAATAAGTAATCTGAAATCTGCTTTAAATATCCAGAAAATACAGATTGCCCATGTACTGAAAGAGTAAAAGCCACAGCATGGCACAGCCCGGCTCTCTCAGGACCCAGCTCGGTGTTAGCTGGCACCTAGAGACTGGGTCTCGAGGCAGGCCACATACCCGTCACTGATCTTGAATTCCTCCTCACTCTCTTCCTCATCTAGGTTGCTATCACTATCAAGATCATTAAGTCGCCGGCGTTTCTTCCTGCGAGCAGCAGCTGCCCTCTGAGGCCGTTTATTTTCTTTGCGTTCTTCATCCAAAATGGTAGAGATGTCTTTCCCACGGTGACCTGTGATGGTGGAAATATCTTTTCCTCGGCCAACTCCTGAGAGGAAGAGGTAACTGCATGTTTATTGAACCTTCCCATTAACTTTCTTAGAAATATGTAGGTTGCTTACAATTTCAGCTGACAATGCTCTAAAGAATTAACATGCAAAAATGAAAACCCCTCAAAAAAATTAACATGCCTATTTTATTCAATAGAGTTCACAGTGCAAAGACTCCTAGTTTTATATTTTGATTTAGTTTTATATTTGGATTTGATAAACCACTTAGCGATGCCTCCCTCACCCTTTAATACACTGCCTTTTCTTTTTGTGGAGGGCTGTTTAAAAAAAAATCTCTCTGGGCAGCCTAGGCTGGTCTTGAATTTGTGATCCTTGTGCCTTGTCCCCGATTTATAGATTTGTATCACCACACCTGGCTCAATGCTCTTTATTGTCTAAGTGTTTTGCCTACATGTGTATATGTACAGTACATGCATGCCTGGAAGCCAAGGTCAGAAGAGGGATTTGAATTCCCTAGTACTGCTGTTGTTATGGTTGTGAGCTACCAAGTGGGTACTGGGAACTGAACCTGGGTCCTCTGTAAGAACAAGTGCTTTTAGCTTTGGGGCCATTGGTTCAGCCCCTCAATATTCTTCTTTAGCCCCTCAATATACTTCTTTTCTTTCTTATATTGTGTGTGTGTTCACACATTCCAAGGCACACTTATGGAGGTCAGAGGACAACTCTCAAAGAATCAGTTCTCCTGCTACTTGGTAAGGTCCAAGATCTAACTCAGGTTGTCAGGACTGTGAGCAAGTGCCCCTCCCACTGAGGGACCTGGCCAGCACTCTCCTCTCATGGCTTTTAAGATTTTTTTTTTTTTAAATTCATGTGTATGTGTGTATGTTTTTTTAGACAGGGTTTCTCTGTGTAACAGTCCTGGTTGTCCTGGAACTTATTCTGTAGACCAGCCTGGCCTCAAACTCACAGAGACCCACCTGCTCTGCCTCTAAGTGCTGGGATTACAGACGTGTGCCATCACCGCCCGGCTTGTGTGTGCGCTTTGGTAAGTGAATACATTTGTGTAGGTGCTGCCAGGGTCAGAAAGCATTGAATCCCTTCGAAGTAGAGTTACAGGCAGCTGTAAACTATCCAACATGCAGGATGGGAATCAAACTGGTCCTCTGGAAGAGCAGCAAGTTTTTGTGACTGCTGAGCCTTACTTGGCTCAATACTCCAGACCAATCTTTTATTTTACTTATTTACTTATTGGTTTTTTTTTTAGACAGGGTTTCTCTGTGTTGCCCTGGATGTCCTGGAACTCACTTTGTAGACCAGGCTGGCCTTGAATTCACAGAGATCTGCCTGCCTCTGCCTCCTGAGTGCTGGGATTAAAGTCGTTCGCCACCACTGTCTGGCAAGACCCATCTTTTAAAGAAAGTAACTCAGTATAATCACAAAGTTGTCCAACTGTTAGCACTTTCCTCACTCCAAAAAGAAGTCTTATACCTATTAGCAGTTGCTCAAGAATCTTCTTGAATAAGGACAGAGAAAAAAATTGATAAAGATGTAAATAAAAGACCCAATTCTAAAAGGTTATGACATCAGTTTCTTTACAAAAAAAAAAAAAAAAAAAAAAAAAAACAAAACTGTGTATTGATCCATTCTGAAGTTTTCACAGTAGTAAGTAGAAACCAGAAAGTTCTTCATCAAGCTGGGCGGTGGTAGTGCACGCCTTTAATCCCAGTACTCAGGAGGCATAGCCAGGCGGATCTCTGTGAGTTCGAGGCCAGCCTGGTCTACAGAGCGAGTTCCAGGACAGGCACCAAAACTACACAGAGAAACCCTGTCTTGAAAAACCAAAAAAAAAAAAAAAAAAAAAAAACTTCATCAGAACATTAGTAATTGGCTATATAACACTTTAACAAACAATTTCAAATTCTTCTACAATGCTGTTTTGAAAGGCAAAAAGGCTGGCTGTGGTGGTGCAAGTCTTTAATCCCAGCACTCGGGAGGCAGAGGCAGGAGGATCTCTGTAAGTTAAAGGTCAGTCTGGACTACAGAGTGAGTTCTAGAACAGCTAGGACATAAAAGAGAAACACTGTCTCAAACGAAAGAAGGAAGGGAGGGAGGGAGATACCAATTAAATGAGTAAAGTGATTTTTAACAGATTTACACTGTCATTCAAATTTGGATTATCCACACATTTTGAGGCTTTCTTTTTGCAAAGACAATAGGAAAATTTCCTGAGTATTCTAATTAGATATAAATTGTTTGATCAATGAAGGAATTTAAAACTTTATATTAGATTATACAAAAATTAGTAATAAGTTCTGTAATACATTGGCACTATGCCAGCAGATTGCTTTGAATGAAAACTAGTTTATTCAGTGTTAGCACTGGGGAGAGGAATAATCTGCTGGGAGAATTATGTGAAAAAGAATAAATGATAAACATACCCCCTCCATCAGCCTCCTTGATATCATCTTCTATAGCTTCATCAATTGCTTCATCAAACTCATCAAATCTAAAACAAACACAGTGATGATCAGATTGTAAGATGTACTTGTGTTTGATTTCCAAAGACCACCTATACAAAGTGGCTGCAAGAGCCTGTCTTTGTCCCCACCCAACTCACATGTGACGGTCATGATTAATGTCCTCATTAAACAGGAGAAAAAAGAGAAAACAAGAATCCCTTGGCCTCTTCTGCCCTGTGAAATTAAAGCAAGAGGATGGCCATATACATAAAGCAGACACTAGATCTGCCCTAGAGAACTGCTGCCATGTGAACTCAGAGAAGATACCATGGAAAAGTCAGAAACAGGTCCTAACCAACTCCCAAATCTTCCAGTGCTTTCACCTTGGACATTATAAAGCTTCTGAGAATCAATTTATGCTTTCTAAAAGCTATCAGTTGACGGTATTTCCAATGGGAGTGCACAGATTAGGACAGTATCAGCATGTGAGGTAAGCATCTACTACTCACCACATACTCCAGACAATTAATCAATAAACAAGTTAAAACTTCAAACAAGTTAAAAACTTTAGGCTTTTAGACTATAAAGTCTTTAACAATCAACTATGCCACTGTAATGGAAATGTAATTGTTAATCAAATGTTAAGTAAATATAGATGGCTTTGTAACAAAAACATCACAGATACTGGAATTTGAGTTACATATGGTTCTCATAAAATGCTTTGTTTCAATCATTTATAAACGTAAAAGCCATTCTTGGGATACAGATTATACAAAACCTACCAGTGGGCTAGCTGTGGCCTACAGACTGAACTTTAATCATTTAAGTCACACAGCAAAGTAATTTGAACAAAATTACTGCTCCATAGTAAGTGTTAAGGCCAGCTATAATTACTATTGAAAATAACTGTGTTATAGAAATTCATATACAGGTGATCAAAATGTACTTTTGCTTAAAGAACTATTTCTTCTGGTTTAAAAACAAATGAACAAGAAGAAATGATTTCTAAGATCATTTTTTTAAGGAAGTGCAGCTTAGTTTTGGGGCTCAACTGATCATAAGGTGAACTGATTTAACCATGTTAACTATGCAATTTCTGTGGCGAGTCCTGTGCACGTAAGTGTGCATGGGTGTGTATGTGGTGTGGCCTGGACATATGACCTTCCTCAGGCTAGGAAAGTGCTCTACTACTGAGCTACAGCCTGGCTCTGAGGTCTTGGAACCTAACACCCGAAGATACCAGGTGACTCACATAACAGTTACAAATCACTGTGTTGAGAGAACCACCCACTTCTATTTTTTGGTCTAACTGGAAAAAAAGTTAGGTTCTTTTATTATGACAACTTTCTTTTATTTCCTACCTGTAGCTTATACATTTCCTTGTTCTTGTTGATCTCCTTTCAAGTAAGTTTGCTTTGGATTTTTTTGAATCTTTTTTCTTTTCTTCTTGATCTTCAGAAAAATCTGGCTCCTTTAAAGAGAAACATATACATATGTTGACAGAGAAACAGTCCTTGGAATTAACAGCTTTAATATTCTACCTAAGGAGCACACATGAAGGTCTGAAAAACTCTGAGATTATTTACCACTAAGAATATAGATGGCAAAACTTATTATACAAATTAAAAATATTGGTAGTCAAGTATATGAACTATTTTGTGTTGAAATTCTAATACTTCTGTGAGTTTACAATAGTCTGTTATTAAAATAACCAATATGAAGTTTTTCTACCAATTCAATCATTTTTGTATGTTTGTTTTATGAGACAGGGTTTTTCTGTATAGCTTTGGCTGTCCTGGATCTTGCTCTGTAGACCAGGCTGTCCTCAAGCTCACAGAAATCCTCCTGCCTCTGCCTTCCTAGTGCTTGGGATTAAAAACATGCACCACCACTGCCTGGCCCAATTCAATCTTTTAACCAATAATTAAATATGATACACAGAAAACGTTGAATAGATATGTGGCTGAATTCATGAGATGATTTGATTTAAACGGAAGAAAAACTTGGCAAGCTACTTAAGGCTGGGATTTAATTATGAAACAGTCAAACTTCATTTGGAAACTGCTGAATGTGTGGCTCACATCTCTAATCCTAGCCTTCAAAACCAGCATTTAAGAAGAAAAGGCAGTGGATCTCTGAGTTCCAGGCCAGCCAGAGTTATATACCCTATTTAAAATCAACAACAGTAGCAAAACCACAACAAAATCAAGTTGGAAACTATGTTTTTATGTTTCATGTGCATTCACTCATGAGGTGCGCTTAATTACAGACTAATAAATGTAAATAATGGTAGTTGTTCAAAGAAATTAAATTATAATAGAAATTAAAATTTCAATAGTACCAAATTAAAAGTAAAATATTGCCAAGCTATTCTTTAGTTATTTTATGCAAGTAACACATTATAAGGTTAACCACGAATTGTTTTGCTTACAATAGAAACAATAGAACATTACCCCAAAGCAATGAGCTATAAATTTAGTTTGAATATGATAATCATATTGAGTTATTTATTTATAAATAATAATCCCAATAGTTATTTCTCCATGTCCTTAAAACATCTAGCTTTAATAGAATAGGTATGTCAAATATTAAAATGACATATAATTGGGTTAAATTTTAGAAAGTGCATAGCATGTCCTCTAAAAATACGACATAAACCTGGACTGAAAATGGCTCAGTGGTTAAGAGTACTGGCTGCTCTCTGGAGGACTCAGATTCGAGTCCTAGCACCCACAGAGTAGCTCACAACCATCTGTAACTCCAGTTCTAGGAGATCTGGTACCTTCTTCTGACCTCTGTGGGCTCTAGGCATACATGAGGTACACAGACTATACATGTAGGCAAAACACTCACACACATAAAATTTTAAAAATACTAGAAACTAGAAACTTACTTGTGGAGGAATGATGTTTTCAATACTGATACCAACATACACCAAGCGTTCTTTCCTTAAAACCAAAAACCAAAGGCATAAAATAAGATTTACTAAAAATGAAACTGGTATGAAAATATCATGGTAGATAGTAATAAAATTACAATTTCATGGTATTTAAGAGGCTGTCACAGATATTAAAGTGAAATTTTAATAGAGTATTAGTATTAATGAGAAGCACAAACTTTCTGACTATATGAAGTCTGACCTATATGAAAGCTGTACTTTTGAACTGAAACAGACAAACTTCAAACTGAGTTGACAATGTGGTTAGATTTGGAAAGCTAACTCTGACTAGACAAACTAGATCTCTGCATATTAAATGTCTTAGATGATGTTCTGAGTATAGTATACAACTGTAAGCCTATGGTAATAGCTGGGGGAAAGTGGTGCACGCCTTTAGTCCCAGCACTTGGGAGGCAGAGGCAGGCGGATCTCTGTGAGTTTGAGGACAGCCTGGGCTACAGAGCGAGATCCTGGACAGCCAGGGCTACAAAGAAACCCTGTCTTGGGGGTGGGGGAAGCCTAGGGTAATAAACATCACTATAAAATAGTGACTAACAAACTATACATAACAAAACCATATCAAGGCTCCAGTGAATGACATTAAAGCCCCTCTTTTCCTGCTGTAGGGAAGAAGAAGAAACGCACTGCAGACACGTGGGCTATGCATTTTACAATGGAAAATTAGGGTACTGGTGGAGCCGGAAGACAAGGATGCATATCCAGAATGACATCTCCATGGGTTTCCTCTCCAAGGGAAAAAACAAAAACAAACAAACAAATGCCCTGTTTATTTTAACTAAAAAATAATAACAAACAGCTCTAAACAACAGGTGCTTACTCTAGTCATCTCAATGTTAATGCAGTATACTGAGAGCCCCTGAGCTCTGAATATCAGAGTACATTACACGGATCTAGAAGAGCAACTGTTCTTTCTTGCTTGTTGTAATGCTCCTTCCGAAAGGAAATGAATGCATTTACATGTCTAGACCCTTTGCAACGCAGCTTCTAATGAGCACGTGACCCTGCTAACAAGAATCTTAGCAACAGATGGAGAAGCTACCACATTTATGAAAATGATAAAAATCACTTTAATTAAAACTTGGTAAGCTATCAAGTAGTTAATAATGACCAAGACAATCAGAATATTGCATAGTTTGAACCGTCTCTGTTATTAAGTATGTGTGATATACATCTGACCTTGCCAAAACCACATTCACTGAAATACCAATTTTCTCCTTTAAACTGCTTTCATTGACCATTATTTCTCTTCTCAATTCAACTGAAGAGAAATTAACTCATGTTCATTATGGGCAGACTTATGCCAAGCTTGGAAAGCCAAATATAACATAAGATATGGTTTCTGCCCTCATAATTAGTTATCAAATGCCTACCGACCATTTTGAACAACTACTGGAAACATGACCAGGTATAGATCAATTTTACCTAACCGGAGAAATTACAGAAGACTTTAACTGGGTTCACTGTTGTACAGGATCTTGAGGGTAGACGTGATTCCTCGTCATTCTCTCTTAGTCATCTTTTGGCAGGTTGCCTTCCACCTCATCTCACTATCGAGATCTGCAGACCTTATCATTACCAACATCTCTACTCTTGCTAAAATTTCAGTTTTACAAATCCTGTTGTCTGACTTCTACTAAATCAATTTCCAACTCACTCCACCTTCTATGATACTCTCAACAATTTGTTGACTCTAGTGGAACTTCAACTTAGTCTATCGATGCCCTCTTACCTGGCTGATACTCCACACTCCATCATTATAAATACTCCTTTGCATACACTTTCAAGCTCCTTGTCTCTTTCTCTCCTTCCCACTGTTACATTACCTGGAAAATTCCAACCCCAATTAAATCTAACCCCCTGCTAGGCAAAGCAATAGTAATTGCAGTCTGGAAGAACAGAGCTTTCTGAGTTCCCATATTATCTCTGACGTCATACACTGGAAGGAACATTTATAAACCACAAAATAAGAGATTTCTAAAACAGCAGATTCCATAGAGCCACACAGCTCCAGATCTGTAGACATTTGCTGGGTAGTCACTAAAAACTTAGAGTCACAACCCTTTTTTCCAGACTGTGCAGCCATTTAAGGTAGACACAGTATGCTTTCTCACTGAATACACTACCTGGTATAAAAGAGGTATTCAATAAATGTTAGTTAAATGCTGAATACAAACGGAGAAAACAATGGGATCAGGATACAGATGCTCTCATAGTATGAGGGTGGATGAGTACCAGAGAGGTCATTTCAGAGATGACATGAAGGAAGCCCCACCTCTACACACCCATCACAATGGCTGCCTTACTCCCAGGCTTTCTCCTGCAACATTCTAATTCTCACTCATTCATCTGACTTACCAGGGCCTATTTTCTGAAACGATGACCATATCCCTACTCTGATGACTCCACTACTCCCTACAGAGAACAGTTAGAATTCCCTAGTTGGCTAGCAAAGCTGTTTGCAGTCTGGGCTTTCTCTGCTTTATGGAGATCCATCCTATCCTGTCCTCCTACCTTCACTGTTTTTTGTTTTTTGTGGGTTTTTTTTTTTGTTGTTGTTTTTTGAGAAAGGATTTCTCTGTGTAGCTTTGGAGCCTGTCCTGAATCTCACTCTGTAGACCAGGCTGGACTTGAACGCACAGAGATCCGCCTGGCTCTGCCTCCCGAGTGCTGGGATTAAAGGCGTGCGCCACCACCGCCCGGTCCCTACCTTCACGTCTATACTCTGCCTTTGCTCATTATGTTTGCACACACCAACTGGAAATGCCTCTTTTTTCTATGCCCACCTGTATAAACCCAATTTATTTCCCAAGGCCTTCCTTGATAATTCAATTTCTAGGAGAATTAAAATGCTCTTCCTTTATGTTCTAGTACTGTGTTGAGTCTCAGTCTCTCTCTCTGTCTCTCATCATTGGGTCTCTGTCTTCTCTGGTCAAAAGTGAGTTCAATGTAAACAAGATTCATACACTCATCTATGTTCACTGTTCTATTCAGTTGGCTATGCCGTGGATCTGAATGTTTAGATGTGTAATGACCAAAGAAAGTACAAATAAATATGAACTCACTGTATTCATTCTGAATCAATCCCCTATTAATAAATATGAGGCTCAAGGTCAATCTTACTTGCTCCATGAAGCTACCTCAACTGTTTCAGACTACACTGTAGTGACCTATGGAAACAGTGTATGTTACTGTCAGCAGGACACAGTTCAGCAGTGGTCTTTATTTACCACTGTTAATATAGCCCACCCAAAAAGACAGAGGAAATAAATTATAAGCAGGTTCTTATAATTTTCCTGTGTTCAATAATAGTTATGCACATTTCCTCCACAAGATGTGGGACAATGTTTTTCCATAGCAGACTCTGATACTCTACAAAGGGGGAGGGTAAAAGGACACATAGTATTTCGAGCTTGGGAAGTTACTGGACCTCTAGTGGGCTATTCAACTCCACTGTTGTAGTGCAAAAGCATCCATAGTAAGCACACAAACAAATCAGCAAAGCTGTGTTCCAGTAAAGTTTACTTAGAGGATATATAAAATGTGAGTATCACATAGTTTCCCTACATCATGAAACGATTTTATAGGGATGTTTTTAAAAACTTAAAAACCATTCTTAGCAGGTAATGTAAAAACAGCAGCAGACCAGATGTGACTTGCTGTAGCTTGCCAGTCTTTGATTTAGATGGATGTGTTCATCTAAACGGTATGACAATGTTACTGCCAAACTACCAAGGGAAACATTAACACATATACCCATTTACCTTCGCTCTGCACGCTCTTTCTTCTTTAAGGCAACATCCAAATCTTGCAACTGTTCTTCTAATTTTTCACACAGTAGTTTCTGTAGGAACAATATATATGTGCTATTTTTAATACCAGACACAACCATACATCTCATGCTTATTATTCATTCATAATATTATTATATTATTATTATTTGAGTATTATTAAGCTTAATAATAATAATAAGTGTTATGAGTTGAAAATAGCTACATGGTGAATGAATATTGAAAATGCTTTGTTTGTTTAAAAAGGTGGTCAGAATCCACTTAACAGATGATGAGCATAGTACTTCTATTAGAAAGCATGCCAAACACAAATAGCTTTGCAAAAACCAAAACAGAAAAATATGTTCTGTCCCTATCCTGCTTTTACTGTTCAGAATTGCATTTTGTTCATTACTATTCAAAACAAGGTTATGTTAAAAATAAAAGGCTATCAAAATAACTTTGAAAAATTATATATACGTCAAAGCATAATGCCAATATAAAAAATACACACAAAGCAATGCTACATGGTTGCTGGGTCAAAACAGAGCATAAAAAAATATCATAGATTAAGCTATGCTAAGCAAGAGATGGTAACTTCAGAGAAAAAGGTGTAAAGCCATTACGTTAAAAGCAAAATAAGATTGGCCTTGTGGAAAAAAGTATTCAATTGGTGCAGAGAACAGAAATCTACTGTTCTCTGATTTTACAAGAAACTGTGAATCAATGCAGAACAGAATGATGATTCTTTCAGTGCTAGCAACAAAAAAAAGATGCAGTAATAAAAAATGAGATTTTAAAAATGGAGTAAACTACAAAACATTTATTTCATTCATATAAAGTTGGTGCTATTTTTGGTGATATTTTGTTTGTGTTCTGACAAATAAAGCTTGCCTGAGGTTCAGAGGGTAGAAGTAGCCACTAGTTAACCATAGAAGTCTGGAGGTCTGTACAGACAGGAGACAGGAAGTGATATGACTGCATGCAGAGAGTAAGCGATAAGGCGGGGCATAGACAGGAAGGAGCGCCACCATTTTTCAGTCTGCAGAGTCAGTGAAGGTAAGAGGTAATTTTGGCTGATCCTTTACCTCTCTCATCTTTCAGCATTTATCACAATATCTAACTCCAGGTTTTTATTGTTAAGATCAATTAGAATTCGTGCTATTTATATTTATACAAATTAGAGTAGAAAACAGATGGTTTTACAAAAGTCAGGAATTTTATAGACGACAAAAGGCAAGCCTAAGATACTAATAGAAGGTAAGAGACTCAAACAAAAGGTGAACATTATTAACAACTGCTTTGGAAAGGGATGGTGTTTAATGACTGCTAAAAAGTATTATCAATGTGTTGAATATAAAACTGAGGGCTGCAGACAGAATTAGGTTGGGTCATACATGCTGGCAAGGAGGGCAGAACCATTCTCCATCAGGGATGATCATCAAGGGAGGGCGGAGGCAGGCAGTATGGTATCCACTGTCACAGGAATCGCACAGAAGAATCTGAAATAAACCACATTAATATCAACCCATCTGCAATTTGTTAAAATATGGTATTTCTTTCTTTTTGAGATAATGCCTTGCTATATTAATAGTGCAGGCTAGGCTGGTACTCACTATGTAGCACTGGACAGCCCCAAGCTCTCAGCAATATTCATGTCTCAGTCTCTACAGTGCTGGGTTTGTACAGGTATATGACACCATTCCTGGTGAACACTGACATTTCAGTACTTCTTAGTACACTACCATGAACTGCATGGTGTGTGCATAAAGCCAATGAATGGAATAAGTCTGACAATTAGGGATGGAAAAAAATTTAAATTGAGCCAGGCAATGGTGGCACACAATCTTTAATGTCAGCACTCGGGAGGCAGAGGAGGCAGGTGGATCTGAGTCCGAGGCCAGTCTGGTCTACAAAGCGAGTTCCAGGGCAGCCAGGGCTACACAGAGAAACCCTGTCTCACAAAAACAAAACAAAAAGAATTTAAAAATTAAAAAGCACTCCCTCTGACAACCTAAGAAAATATGGTACAGAAATCAGTGAAATACAGTAACTCCTTTCTAAACTGGAATCAAGTGTTAGTTTGCCACAAAGGCAATCTTACATTCTCTATAACAGAATCTTAAAGTTCAAGTATCATAAAGTATGCTAGCATATAGAGAATTATCAAGTATTTCCATTTTAATTGCATTTCAATTACTTAAAATAAGAAATACAGTTCTTTTATTCTGTAAACTCAGATAAGGAAGAGACTGACACACAGGAAAGGATCAGAAGTTCTTTCAAACATTAACATCACCATCAACTACTTTTACTGCAGTGAACTCTAGATGACCAGTTATTTAAAATCTACCAGCTTATTGGTAATCATTTAACTAAAAAGGCATTTACTTGAAAGTATTTTCAGTTTATAGATGAATTACGAAGATATTACAATCTCATATGTTTTTCCTTCAACTTTCCACAAAGCTACAATTCAGAAGGGCTCTTGTTATACAACTGACCCCAAAGTTTCAATCTAACTGCTCCAGCCCCTCAAATGTTAAGATTAGAGGTATGTGCCAGCGTGCCCAGTTACAAAGTTAAAATCTAACCCATCTCTGCCAAAAGTGAAAACGTAGCATCAACACAGTAGTTTCCTAAGACCTTTTCCCAACAGTGATGCTGTTTTCCTGACTATGAATCCAAGGCTATTAGACTGTACTGCTCTCGTTAGGTTTCCTACTCTCATTCTCTGGCACTAAGAGATGCTTAGCCTTTCTTTTTCTATTACTCTGACAGTGTGTGGACTATTAGAAATCCAACATTTTATAGACAAGTCTGAATTTGGGTTAATGACTTCACTGGGGTTCCATGTTAGAAGAAGAGTACTCTGCTCATTCTGTCATATCAGGGTATCTTAGTCAAGGCTGTGAAGGTAACGCTTATAAAAGAAAGCATTTACAGGGGCTTGTTTATAGTTTCAGAGATTAGCCCATTATCACCATGGCTGATAGCATGGTAGCACACAGGCAGACACAGTGCTGAAGAAGTGGCTAAGGGATATATCTATATCCTGATGTGCAGGCAGCAGGAAGAGTGAGTCTGGGGCTGGAGTGGGCTTTTGACCTCAAAGCCCACCCCTAATGATACACTTCCTCCAACAAGACCACATCTACTATAATAAGGCCACACCCCCTAGTTCTTATAAGCCTTCAAATAGTTACTACCAGGTAACTAAACATTCAAACACATGAGCCTATGGGGCCATTCTTCTCTTTAAAAAACATTCATTTAAGTCCGGCAGTGGTGGCACACACCTTTTAATTCCAGCAGGTGGATCTCTCAGTTTGAGGCTAGCCTGGTCTGAGTGAGTTCCAGGACAGGCTACAAAGCTACACAGAGAAACTCTGTCTCAAAAAAAATTTTTGTTTACTTAATGTGTGTGTGTGTGTGTGTGTGTGTGTGTGTGTGTGTGTGTGTGAATCTGAGAATATGTATACGCACCGTTTGTGTGCAGTGACAGCGAAGGTCAGAATAGGGAACTGGATCCCCAGAACTGACGTTACAGTCATTAGTGGTCATGTGGGTGCTGGGAACTAAACCTAGGTCTTCTAGAAGAGGAGTAAGTTTTCTTAACTGCTGAACCATTTCTCCAGCCCGTAAACTTAGCACAACTCCCTTGTCTCTCTACAGGGTCTCACTATCTGGCTATCCTGGAATTCACTATGTGGATCAGGCTGCCCTTGACCTCACAGAGATTTTCCTGCCTCTGCCTCCTGAGTGCTAGGATTAAAGGTGTGCATCACTACACCAGGCTTTATGGAGACCACTCTTATTCAAACTATGACACAAGGGATACATGATATTAATACAGATTATTATTAGTGATATTAATTTCGGTCACTTAGTTAAAGAAGTAGCTATTAATTTTTCTACTTAGAAGTTACACTGTTTATTTTCCATACTTCTACCCTCAAAGTAAACCCCACTGGTCCTTATGGCTAATGCCTGTAATCCCATCTACTAGGAAAGCAAGGGCAGGAATATCACATTCAAAGGCTAGTGTGAGCAACATCTTGAAACCCTTCTCAAAAAAAAAAAAAAAAGAGCTAGGAAAGCAGTTCCATGTAGACGTGTGAATACCATGAATGCAAATCACCAGTAATAAACAAATAAATGAACAACAACAACAAAACCAAAACGAAGGAATAAACAAATAAATCCAGCCTATCCTCACAGGGAGGGGCCAAAGTTTTCTAGGGTTAGGAATATCAAAGGATTTAGGGATGTAAATGAAAATCATTATAGTAACTAATAAATCTGTAAGTATTTTAAAGTAAGATATAACTGGGTTATGCAAATATCTAACTCTTCCTTCGAGCCTGCCCCTGAGCTTAGCATACACTAGGAACTTTGCTTCCGCAGTGAGGGCTGTGGCACTCTGCTTGTGATTTTCTCTTCCTTTAACCTCCCAAGTTCTTGGAGTTCTTCTACAAAGAAATCTGATCCGCTGCCCTAATCATTTGTTTACTCAATTATTTCTGTCAGTGACAAATACTTCTTCTTCTTCCCCTTCTTCTTCTTCCTCCTCCTCCTCCTCCTCTTCTTCTTCTTCTTCTTTAAATTATAGTTGAAATCTATTCTTCTGTTTGTTGGAGCTGTTCCAGCTATGGATACACGAGCTTTTTCTGTGTCCTTAGGGCTTGTCTAGATCAGATTCTTTGTTTTTTAAAGCATTTTGTTACCTTCTGGCAATTACAGGGTGCTCTCGACACATCTTAGACATCCCCTGATGGCCTGACCTGAGAATTAATAAAATGAAGAAATCCTGGTTCCTTTATTCCAGATGAATTTAGAAACAAGGTCTGGGAAGTCTCAGTGCTTATTGCAACGGCCTATCACTAATGTTAAGTTCTCGCAGAGAGAATAGCACATTCATTCTTTAGTAACTGCATATGCATGCATACACCTGTATTTCTACCTATTTAAAATGAATTCACTATAATTCCTCTAATCCAGCATCACAGGGTTTATTCTACCATTGGTCTTATTAAAAGAAAGGGATCTGGCTCATATTACCTATGTTCTCTATTTTTTTGTTCAACTCTGGTATACGTGTTCTTTCTGAAATTCTATCCCATTCCGAATAGGACAAGTTAAGGCTGGAAAACTACCTCCTTCCTGCTCTGTATAATACAGTCACCACTTGATCCCAATGTCCAAAATTAAGTATCAACTTACATTAGTGGTGTATATCAACTGTAAAATCAATTGCTTTGGCATATGTGGACTAACCCAGGTACCCAATTTCACTCATCACATTGTTTCTACAGAAAAACACAACCTAAATTTCAAATAAGACAATTAAAAATAAAACTTTACAATTTAATTTACTTCTAAAAGGAAGACTTGCCTTACACCACAACAAACGGAAAATTCCACTGAATAACTATTACTACATAAGAGTTCCACTGGCATACCCCTGTAAACCCAACACCCAGGAGGCAGAGGCAGGTGGATCTCTGTGAGGTCAAGACCAGTCAGGTCTACAGAGCAAACTCTAGACGGCTAGAGCTGTTGCACAGAGAAACCCTGTCTCAAAAAACGAAACAAGACAAACATACAAACAAACAAGAATTTCCAAGTCTCAGGCAATGATCCATTGCTTTTACCTAAAACAACTAGAACAGACAAGAGTTCTAGATTTACTGAATTTATTGCTTTTCTGTTCACCAAGAACAAGAGCCATTTATTTTACTAATACAAAAGTGATTTATTATTTCTTCAATTTTTGTTGTTGTTATTTTTGTTCTTTGAGACAGGGTTTCTCTGTGTAACAGTTCTAGAACTTGCTCTGTAGCCCAGGCTGGCCTCAAACTCACAGAGATCTGCCTGCCACTGCCTCCTGAGTACTGGGACTAAAGGCGTGCATCACCATAGTCGGGCTACTGCTTCTAATTTTGATTTGGGATTATCTTTAAGTTCAGGGCATAAGCAGCCCACCAGATTGTAGTTTCTAAAGTCATTCACCTTGCCACAGTAAACAGAAATGGGATTTACCAGTTACTTATAACGACAAACTAAAATCCTGTGGATCTCATTGCTGTCACTTTGGCTCCCTACACTTATTTCCTCACACTTGGTTTTGTCCCCAGAGTTTCTTTACTTTTTAAAGACATTTTATTAAAAAATAAATAAATAAATTCGGAAATGGTATGGCAAACACAAGCCTTGCTGATCTCTGAGTTAGAAGGCAGAAAAGAGATCTTTTTAAAAAAAAGATCAAATCTTCAAACATCTTCAACACAAAAATCCTAACTTTCATAGCCTTGCTCATTATGGTAGCTGTGGTGGTTGGAAGGAAATGCCCCTCAGTCTCAAGCTATTTGAACACTTGGTCCTTGGTTGGTGGCTGTTTGGGGAGGATTAGGAAGTGTGGTCTTGCTCAAGAAAAGTGTGTCACTGAGTGCAGGCTCTGAGGTTTCAGAAGACCCAGGCCGTCTCCAGTGTGCTCTCGGCCTCCTGCTTGTAGATCAAGATGGGAGCCCTGAGATGCTGCTCTAGGCACCCATCTCCATGCTCTCACTCGCCATCACTAATCCTCTGGAACCCTAGCATAAACAAATTCTTTCTTTTCTGTTCCCTCAGCCATGGCGCTTTATCACAGTAATAGAAAAGTAAGACAGACAAGGCTTCATTTTAACCACCAACTTAATGAGATCCGGGCCAGCCAGGGCTAACAGTGAGATCCTGTTACAAAAAAACAAAACAAAATTCAAATCACGATCAAACCTCGGAGCAGTAGGTCACTCCAAAGAACCACACTATAGCTACGAGAGGAGCACTCTGCTCACTTAGAGCAGGTACATACGAGTTCCGGATGGTTTGGAAGGCCACATTTTTTGCATGGTTCATCGTCATCTGGAAGGACAGCTTCTTCACTTTCCTTCCCTTGCTCCTCTTCTGAGGCTGCGGAGGATTTTTCACTGTCCGACCCTTCACTGTCATCATTGCTGGAGTATTTCCACCGGCCACGTGTCCGAGAACCAGTCCAGCGAACTTTGCCTTTGGGTTTTACCTTACAGAAATGAAAAGATGAGATAATTGGACATGAGAATTTCTTTCTCCAAACTATGTGTCCCTTGGAGAATATTTAGCTAACACAGAAAGAAAAGATGAAAATTGTTACAGTCTTGTCATCAGCTCTATCTACTACTAAGTTTTGGTATGTGTTTTCATTATTTTTTCTGCATTTGGGGGTGTGTGTCTTAAAAATGGGATTAGACAATGACCATTTTATCTTATAAATATGCCAAAATGGCTGTATGATATTACTCACACATTTGGGTGGTTGTTTCCCATTTTTTCACTTTCACAATGTACCCTCATAGATGTTAATGTTTATATCCATCTTTGTGGTTAGGATAAATTCCTTGAACAGGATTCTGGGTCAAAGGCCATGAACACTTAAAGCCTCTATCAATAGCAGGAAGATATACTGACATACTTATTATTATTTTTTTTTTTCAAAAATTTAAACTTTAAAAGCTGGGCGTGGTGGTGCACTCCTTTAATCCCAGCACTTGGGAGGTAGAGGTGGGAGGATCTCTGTGAGTTCGAGGCCAGCCTGGACTATAAAGGGATTTCCAAGGCAGCCAAGGCTGTTACACAGAGAAACCCTGTCTCAAAAAACCACAGAAACAACATAACACACACACACACACACACACACACACACACACACACACACACACAAAAAAAAAAAACCAAACTCCTAAATTACCAAGTTTTTAAAGCAGGTCAGAGCTGCATCTAAAACTCGCAATAAACGTTAAAAGCAGTGTGATTCAGAGAGTAAGCTGGTCATGAGACATCATTCTGTCACCTAGGTTCAGTCTCTCCACTCCTGCCTCACTTCACTGCCATGCTATGGGCCTCTAGGAAAGAACGAACTCATTCAAAAACAAAAGGTTTTTCAGGGAGCAAAGAATGACTGATAATGAACAGTAATAATCACGACATGTCCATTTAAATGAAAAAAGTAACAGTCCCATGGACTAAAGACTTTGCTTAAAATTAGGAAGGTCCCAGAAAAGGAATTTCCGGATTAAAATGGGGAAAATAGGTACTCTGGTAAACTGGTAATGGGGTGGGACACTATTAGGGCTTCTGGAGGGCAATGTGACAATAACTATCCATTTTATAATACATATGCCCCTTGACCCAGTAATTCCAATTCTAGGAGTCTATTCTAAAGAAATACTCACTTATGTCCAAAAGGATCTTCAATGCAGCATTGCCTGTAATAGTGAAAAATGGGAAACAACCTAAATGTCAATTAGTAAGGGAGTAATTAAATAAACTGAGGTATATCCACACTATGAAATACTATGTGGCCACTAGTAAATAAATGTAGACTGTAACTTCTCACATAAGAAGAGACATCACTGTTAAGTGAAACAAATAGGTGTGATCCAATTATTGAAAAAATTGTATGAATACATGTTCATAAACATACACATGAATGCTTAGAAAAATGAATGAAACAATGTATACCCCAAACTGTTAATAGTGGATGTGGGGAGTTTAATTTCAGCACTCTACAGGCTCATTATCAGCTGAATAGCTTATAGAATGTATGCCTAGAACTGCTTGCAATAGAAAAAGAAGTCTAAAAGAAACATTGTATGTCTGAAATTTAGTGTGTGAGTATAACCATTGAAAGGCAAGGTTTATTATTAGTTGTCTTTGAGTGGCCATTTCAACACAAAGCAATAAACAATTAGATCTAAATTAGTTTTCTAATTAAAACTGAGAACACAAGGCTTTCGAGATGGCTCAGTAAAAAGTCTGCCACACAAGCACTAAGACCTGAATTTGGATGACCAGAACCCACATAAAAAGCCAACTCTGGCAGTGTGTATCTGTAACCCTGGGGGTTGGGAATACAGATAGGTGGACTGTTGAAGCTCACTGTCTAGCCTAGCTGAACCTTGAGCCTCAAGCTGTCTCACAAAGGGGGGAGAGAGATGAAGGAGCCACCCAATGTTCACACACACACACACACACACACACACACACAC